CAAAGTGTTTTCTGGCTGAGATCTAAAACATATCCATCAACATTTAGGGCAGATTCTACCCTGAAGGCTGTGTACACAACATTCATTGAACTCAATAGGAATGGGATGTATGACTGAGGGCAGAATTTAGCCTGAAGTAAAGATTGGTCTGGGCCCAGACTTCCCCACACTGTGAGTGTTTTCAATTTGGGGTTTTGTATTGGGCCCGTCTCTAACCCGAATAAGTCGGTTTCTGTTGCTAGACGGGTGTGATAGGTATTTAAACAGAGAAACCCTTTTTTTATTGCTCAGATGTGCCCTATTACTTTCTTTTAAATTTTTCTATTAATAAAAAGGGAATGTCTGATTTCCTGTCTGCTCTTATTTGAATGTGATTTAACTAAAACAAGAACCTCTTGCTTGTTGTTTTTAAAGCTAGACTGAGGAGTTTTTAAAGAACATGATACTTTGTTTCATGGGGGGGAGAGAAGTGTGTGAAATTCCAGGAAATCTAGAGTTACAGTAAAGGAGAAATACTTAACACTATATGGCAATGCTGTGCCATCCCAGCCATGTTTGGATTAAGGGGATGAAGAGATGAGTAGTGATACTGACGCTTAACATGGAGATAACAGATTTGAGACTGTAGAGAGCTGCTGTGTATACTGTGCCTTTAATTTTCTGATAGGAGGAACTTTTTCTTCTCATTTTTCCAAAAGAAAGTAGGTCTGTAAACACCACAGAGCCAGTCATCTCTTAAGGGATAGCAGCCTCTCTTTCGATCATGCTTTGAACCTTGTGTTGCTGTGTTAAATGTTTTGTGGTCCTGGGACACGCATCCTTCTCTTAAAGACTGTCTTAGGGGCGGTCTCTGCAAAAAGCCCCAGCACAATGCAGCCTCAGGGTTGACGCACACTTGCAGGGCATCTTGCCCTGCCACTGTTTGAACTGTGCCCGTTTTGTGGAGCGAGGACTTTAGGTTTCAGGAGCTGTCAATCTAGCACCTTCCATCTGCGCTGAAAACTAAACCCCAAACCCATTATTGTGTTCATTGCCTGCAGCTTGAATTGAAGAAAACAACTTTTGTTTCTTTTTAACTTGGAAGTGCTGGTCATTTTTTTGAATGCTTTTAGTCCAAAAAGCCTTTGCTGATGCTAAGTTATGTAAAATAACCTTAAAAGAAAGGGAGACTATTAGATCAGCCCACTGCATCTGATGTTGCTGCCTGAAACCAGTTGTGGTGTTTGAGCAAGTGAATGTTATGTTTCTCTGTAAAGTTATCTGCATAACAGGGAAACAGACTTTGTCGCTTCCACAGAGTTTTTTCCAGTTCTTGAGGACTAGATCCCTTTCCTTAATGGCCTGTGGCAAGGTAACCTCTCCTTCAGTGGTGGAAAGCTGCATTGTGCTCTCTTGGGAGCTCATCGCTGCAGAAGGTGGTGCTGTAATGCCCTTTTTTGCTTTGTATGCTGTCTCTAGCCCATTCCCAATGCGGGGAGTAGGATTGAAGAGACTGAATGATTCCATGATCAGTGAGACAAGGTGGGTGAGGTAATATTTTTTATTGGGCTAACTTCTGTTGGTGAGAGAGACAAGCTTTTGAGCTTACACAGAGCTCTTCTTCAGGTCTGGGAAATGTACTCCATGTCCCAGCTAAATACAAGGTGGAACAGATTGTTTAGCATGAGTGGTTAATGTATATTTCAAGGTGAAGTGGCCTGTCAACACCTGTCATGTGGGAGAAGGGGAAAAGAAAGGCAGCTGGGAGTGGGGCAGAGTGGCTGTTGTAGTGAGCCACAATTCCAGTGTCCCTATTCCGTCCATGATTTTTAGTGTCTAGCAAAGTTATTTAAATTCCCAGGCTCGTCCTTTGACAGTATTGTGCAGATTTCCTTTGTGGATGAGGACTGAAAGATTTTTCACCCACAGGTGACAGGGTGTGTTTATCTTTTTTCCTTTTCCTGTGAGCTCATGCGAGAGCGTAGTGATTGCTTTCACCCACGTAGTTGTTGAGGTGTTTAGTGTGCTGGAAGGAGGTACGCTACATGTGAACAACACGGCGTTTCCCCAGGGATCTTGGTACAGACGTGAGTTAGGAGGGCTGTGCCCTCTGCTTGCTCCAGACAGGCAGGAGGGTGGGCAGACTTTCCACACTAGGATGATTTGTAGGTGACAGGTAAAACATAGATTGTTTCCCAGCCTGTATGTGGGGAAAGAGAGGGGAGGAGCATGAGTCTCATGAATAAACTATACCCTGAGGCATTGCTTCTCTTCTGAGCTGTCAGGTTGCTGGACTGAATGAAAGGAATGGGCCTTTTCATTAATAAAAGGCATGTGTGTCACCGGAGGACTCTTGTCTGAATGGTGAAGATGGACTTGTCTATCCCACTACATTAGGGTCCAACTGCATTCAAGCTATGCTGCCTGGTTCTGTCGCCTTATGACTCCCTAACGACCTATAGCGAATTGTGTACACACACACATCTCCTTCCAAGAACATTAAGCTTGTATGTGAAACTCATCAAAGGACTGATGTTGCACCACTGAAGGTGAAATGTGTCCTGCTGTCTCCCTCGCTGGCAGTCTCTGGGAGGGCTGAATGTGTGCGCCAGTTCAGGCCATGTTTGGTGTATGTTGCAAGAAATCCTGCAAAGAACTGTATAAGTTACTTTAGGGATATGTTTCAATGGTGTCTCTTCCAGACCACAGACATTGTACAGTAAATATCTATGCAGTATGTTTGCCCCCTGAAGACGAAGAGCACAGTCTGCTGTGGTGATCTTATAAAAGAAAATTAGTATCATTATCCTCCTGTAGAAAGGAAAACTGAAGTACAGCAGGGGAAGTGGCTTGTTCTGGGTCCCATGAAAAATCAGTAGCAGAAACCCAGGTCTCTGGATTTCTAGTCCAATGCAGTCCCAAATGAGGATTGGTAAAATAAAGCCTACAATGGTAAAACTAAGCAACTTTCAGCATCTCACCTTGAATGAATGCAAAAATTGAACAACCTAAATGGTGAAAAGTCAATTAAATACATATTTATATTATTGTAGGGCTAGAAGTTATTTGGATTGGTGCAGTTCCTTTAATGGGCTTTTGCTGTGTGTTGTTTTTTTTTTTCTCTCTCTCCCCCTTCTCACCTCCCACCCAGAAAACTGACTTCTGAAAGATGGGGATGACTTTGGGGGTCAAGCTGCCCTATTGTGCTACTTTGTCCTGGTAACTTCTGGTATGGAATCTCCATTTTCCTGCATCTCCTTTTTAAGTAAAGAACTAATACAGCCTCTTCCCTGCAATGCAGTCCCCATCCCTGCTCCCTCTTGTGATGGGCTCCTACACGATTTCCTGCAGAGGCTATAGAGAGAAGACGCAGCACTCTGGCTTTGTTTCTAATATACAAAGGGATACTTTCCTGTGCTGCGGCCCAGAAGTGGCTGCAGCTTAGAAGAGGAGGTCTCTGCCTTTCTGAGTTCATCTCAGTGGGACAAACAGGGATGTTTTGTAAGATAGATGGATGATTGTGGGGGTGCATAATTATTTATTCTCCAATAAAGCAAACAGGGTGGTTCTTTCCATCCTATTGAGTCTCTCCTGGCCTCGGTGCAAAGAATAGCGATTACATCAGAATGGGCGTGTGATGAAATTTTGATGCAACCGGATTTGTCTTTTGATCTTCAAAAAAGCCTCCTTCAAAGATTGTAGGCCCTGCAAACACGATTATCCGCTTGGTTGCTCCTGGGTCATTGGCTCTATCTATGCCTTGTATATAGCACGACACTGCAGCAGCCAAGTGCACTCCTCCATCTGATGCTTGTAAACCACACATGGTATGGGTGTGGCAGATGCAGCTCCTGGTAGTGGGGGGTCCCTCCATTCTCACCCCTGTAGTGCTCTGCAGCCAAGGGGCTATGCCTGCAGGGTGCTGGGACCTGTGGGGAGGGGGTCTGCCCATTGCAGAGTTGGGGAGATTTGCCACCTGTTGGGATTTCCCTGGAGACTGGGATGAACAGGGCCAACCCCACAGTCCCCATCCTGGCTCTGGGAGCCACAGGGGTTACACAATCCCCTAGCAGTGAGGTACCCCAGTGTGTGTGGCTGCTGTGGCTCCCAGGGCCAGCACTGCAGGGGAGGGGGGGCCCTCTGCACCCTTCCTGCCCCATCCACTCCTATCCAGACTCCTCCTGCCCCCCCCAGCGGGATGAGCCCCAGACTTCCCCTGTCCCACCCCAGAGAACTGACCCCAGATTCCCACTGCCCCCTCTATGGGGGTGAGCCCCAGATTCCCCCTATCCCCCTGCAGCGAGGCGACCCCAGACTCCCCCGTCCCCTCTATGGGGGTGAGCCCCAGACTCCCCCTGTCCCCCTGCAGCGAGGCGACCCCAGACTCCCCCTCTCCCCTCTATCGGGAGGCGCCTCCGACTCCCCC